CAATTAATTATTTCGTCCATCGCCAATTATTCCTTAACAAGTGGAGTTAGGAATTGCGTGGAATCTTTTTTGTATCTAATAATTGTTCAGCACCGGATAATTACTATTTCCGGAAAGAAAACTCGACCTAGAGTTCATTTTCTTTAAATATGTTTATATAAAAATCCGCGCTGTATTTATTAACAATATTTCTTATCAAACATTTAATTCCACTGAAAACGTTAATTATCTCGTACCACTGTGACCAATGTGTCTGCCTTTCATCGCGCTATTTCTGGGTCATCGAAAATGAGAAGGGATCATAATAACATTTGACAGGACATTATTTCTCACGCGGGGCAGTTTATCATTGCGAGGGAACGTAGCCTTAAGAATGGAGTTCAATTTTCTTTTTAATGGTACGAGATGATATTCTGAGAGATACGCTTGGCACAGGTACAAATGGCATTCGGTACGCTTGTAATTATTTTCAATAAAAAGAACGCTTTGTCTTTGGATCTACGTCTCATTCGCGATAATGGATATTTTTGATCGACGCGTCCAAGGTCCGCACCGGATGACCCCGTCGCATGGCCAATTCCTTCACTTCAGTCCTTCGAATTTCATTGAATGCCATAATTAACGTACGTGCATGTATAAAATGTTTGGAAAGTATTTACTGTCACCGTCGCGCTGAAATCTGATAGCACGTTCAATATTAATGAAGCAGTAAAAAAGAAAGCGGTAATGTTGAAAGTAAATTGTTTGAAAACTATTCTTAGAAGTTTCATTTAACCGTTAACACGGCATGTATAAACTTAACTGAAGTCACGCGTCCCCTCCGCGCGTTCTGCAAATCGAAATGACCGAAAGACGCGTTGCGTCACCGAGAAGCAATAGTTTCGCGTGTCCATTAGTCGAGACTTTTGAACGGGACAGAGTACATCGAATTTCAATACGTAATCGTCGATTACGAGCGAATTTAACTTGCAGGTTGTCGTGCCCCGGGGAGCGAGGCAGGCGAAAGGTCTTCTGTTGAGCTGCGTAGAGGAACCGGATCCGTGCATCGTGTTCGAGCCAAAAATACTGTACCGCACCGCGATCGACGAGGTGCCGACGGCCCATTATACGATAGAGATCGGCAAGGCTGAGGTTGTGAGGGAAGGTAGGCGTACTTACAGGAAGACTCGCGGGCCTCTCGCTCTCGTCTCGGTTAAGTTTCACTTCGTGACTGCGTAACAATGTCGTCTATGGAGCGCGTCCGAGCATCCTCCGCGCGCGAATCGTCGTCCTTTCGCGCGGTTAACGATCTCCGACCGATATCGCGGCCGATCGCGAAACTTTCACGGAGTTTGTCGTCGACGGCGCCGAGCGAATTCGCAACGACTGATCGGTCGGATAAAATTCGTTACACGCTTCTAAATTGCGAATATACCCTTTACTCCGTGACAAATTTCACTATTCATCGGGTACAAATTACAATTGTTATAAACTGTTTATTAGTTAACAACTTCGCATATTTCATCACGTTATTACCTGAAGCTTACAAAATAAATTTAAATACGTAATGTTTAGTTTAATGAAGCTACAATAGTCGAGTGACTTTTCCAACATTTTTTGCTGTTTCATTGATAACTAGATTTAAATTCGATTCTACACCTTCATTTCTTAAAGAATCCAGATAAGATTTGTCTTTACGTTCAGTTTAAGATTCATTCTAATTCAATGAGACACGAAGTGAAACAAAAATCGTAGTTACTACGTTTTGGATGTTAATTTAACACTGTCGTGTTAATTATTTATTAAGAATAACACGACTAAATCCTTATTCTCATCCAGTTTATTGGATAACATTGACATTTTTCTTTATCGCGCTGCTATCGGAGTCTACCCCTTAAGAGCATTAGTCACCGCCAGCTTAACCAAAGTTTGATTCCAATCATACGAGCACAATACGCTCCGAATCTCGCGCAGTTCATGACAACGCCTTTCGCAAGCACCAATCAATAAACCCATACGATTAAGTCATTCGATCGCTGACAATACCTATCGCACCGTGCCTAACAACATTAATCAGGATCATTGAATAGATCTCGGGACCTGCAATAACGCCGGAAAAACTCACCCTATTGGCCGAGAATATGATATTTACCGATCGTCCTTTCATTATCCGACGTACGCTATGACCGGTCCTGAAACGGGATACGTTTACGCACACAAGTAAACCGTAAGACGTGTCAAGCGAAACGAGTTCAGGAGTTACTTTAGTTACTAATACGGATAAATATCATTATCCAATAGGATGGAGCTAGCTCCAGTGCCATCGTTCGAGATATTCAGATGCTGGGATTGATTCATCTAATAAAGAGATAAAAGACATTCTTCAGTTTCATTAAAAATTACGTAAGCAAAATCGAAATGTAGATTGAATAGAAGGAACAGATAGATTGGAGTTCGCAAGACGGTGAAACCGGACAGGACTGTCGCAAACGCACGTCGAACCGCCTTGGAAAAACGATACGTTTGAAAAAACGATCAAGCCTCAGGCCCGAGTCATAGCTTCGAGGGGAAGGGCCTCTTTTATAACACCCTCACGTGTCTTGCACGTTCTCGCAGCTCTTACCGTTATTTTTTACGAGTCTCTTTATTACGTTTACAACCGAGCTTATTCAATTAATTCATTCTTGCATGAATTGTGAAATCGCAATTCATATTTAAGAGACCTGTCCGTCCGATCATAAATATTACATTGTTTTAAGTGGCATTTCTTGTTGATCCATCCTGTATATTCATTCGCGATGATATCCATCGACGTATTATAGTGTTTCACGAGAATGTAATCGGTGATCTGAAGATTTGTGAACGTAGGTGACGCGGCAACGCTCGTAGGCTGGGGAACTCAGGTGCACGTACTGTTGGAGGTGGCTGATCTCGTCCAGGAGGAGCTCGGCGCGTCCTGCGAGGTGATAGACCTCGTTTCTATCCTGCCTTGGGACGCGGAACTCGTTTGCAAGGTAATCTCGTCATTATAATTCGCTCCGTTTGCCTTTTCTTTTTCTTCTCTCCTTTCGTCGTTGTTAATGCAACCGGATCATTTGCATGCGTTACGTTCAAAAGCGTTACGTTTGCACGGCTATTACGTGGGTTCGTGTCCTTCGCGGAGATACGAGAAAGAGGGAGAGAGCGACGGGGGTGGGGGCGAGGTACGAGGTATTTTAATCGTACGACTCGCCCGCGGATAGCAGTTTCGCTCATGGAATAGACTGGGACTGTTTGGGACTCGCCTTATCTTCGTAATAAAGAAATACTGTGAGACAATCTTTTTGTACCTGCAGTTGTTATCCGGATAAGCCGATGAAAAATCTTTCAGATAAAACGAGTTTTATTTTTTACTAATAAATAATGAACTACTCGATTTTATCGTGAAGCTTTATGAATTCTGTGAGACAATTTTGTTGTACCCAAAATCAGTCAATGTTTGAATTAATCTTTCAGATTCTCTTACTAACAAGTAATAAACCATTCGATTTCATCCGGAGGCTGTATGGACTTACGCGTACGCTTATTTATTTGGTTTGTATCTAAATGTCGCGTCGCATGCCGATTCGAGTACTCGAACGGAGACAACATTCACTCGTCCGAATTACGATACACCGCGGATGCTAATATAGCGCTGATTTATGTTAATCGATCTTTAGCCGTTTAATGATATGCCGATTGTACGGTATGCACCGGGCCGCTTGCGCGAGCGCGCACGTAACCGAGGTGGTGAGCGTAATTCGAAACCAGTTTCCCGTAATTTCGATACGTTCACGAATTAACAATCTTGACAATATAACCGAATATCTATCGCACAACCAACTAAGATTTTCATATATGCATAAGAAAATTTAATGAAAAGAAACATGTGATGCATAAAAGTATAGAAAATATCGAAAGTAATTGCTTGTTATGATTTTTAAATTATATAGTAAATGTCTATTTAAAGTTCATTTTCCTAACGGATGCCACGAATATTTTACTCTCCATAAAAATCGAGTAATGAGAGTTTCGATTGTCCATGTCCATAGGCAATTCTCCTTTAAAAGGAGAGGAGAATGTAACGGGTGGTCGGCAGCTAAGAAAATCAAGTGGAACGTCCGAAATGTCAAAGAAACCTGTATCTACGTTTCTACGGTCGCGAAACATTATCGAGTTACCGTTGCTAATGATTTACAACGCGGGACGCACACGCGTTCGCCCACGTGTCTTAATTACAGCGACCAGGTGACGCTGGTCTCTAACATGGATAGCCTTTCGGTTTAACAAAAGCTGCTATATTAGTGCATCGCTTTAGCTACGTATAATTTATTATTATACTCGCCGATCTGAGACGGTGCATAAATCATTCACGAATCGAACTGGTCGCACTGTGAAACGAATTACCCGAATTTCCGATTCTTGTCCATCGGTTGCGTATCAATTTCATAATTTCATGAATCCAATGAAAACGTGTTGAGTATGTAATGAGATTAGCCTCGGGTCGTGGGTATTTTACGCGGCCCCTAAACGAACTATTCTGATTATATTTCCACTAATCATTCGCAAAACAGTGTCAATCAGTTAATGGACTTTGTTGCTAATGAAATATGTGAACGATGTTACAGTCGGCGAAGAAGACTGGCCGTGTGGTAGTCGCCCACGAAGCACCGCTGACGAGTGGTTTCGGAGCAGAGATCGTTTCGACTATCCAGGTAAATGTTTCCCCGAAAATGACACAACTAGTAATAACGGTTGCCGCATTCCATCTAGCCGAGGAATTGAAAAAAATTTGACTGAAAAACCTCGATTGGTATGATTTAACGCATTCGAGGAAGTTTTTATTTCTAATAAATATCGAGGCGAGATGTAATAAAGTGTACCTGGCGATAAATTAACTCGGTGGACGATCGCGGCTGGTAATTAAACGGGATATTAAGCGGATTCCGGTTACGAAATTGTTTATACGTTGCGCGGTGCCCAAAATGCGTTAGTCGAATGCATCTATGGAATGTGGCAGGATATCATTACGCCTGTTTTCGGTTACGTCACACGCGGCCGTACTTCGTGACGGTTCGATACGCTCCAGCGTAGCTCAGATGTACAAACCATCGGCCGCCTTACAAAACCCCGGCCCTAACGCCAAATTGGCAAATGGATAGCTCTCTCGTTTGTAATTCAAACATTCCCCTTAATGATACGATATCGGCCGCGTTTGCCGCCCGACGTGACGATGTCGAGGCGCGAGCTCGGCCGCGCGTAATCACCATAATTAATTGAAACGCCTGCGTCGACATTTTAGCTCTGTTTCGCGAGATTTATGCCGAATTACATGCCTCGGCTGTCGATTATTAAATTAACAGATTCGTACAACTGTCTGGGAATTGTTTACAAGATGTGAGAATTGAATGAAACGTTGAAGTAATTTACTAAATAATTTCGCGAATTTGCAATCATTAGGAAGAGTGTTTCCTCCATCTGGAAGCACCGATACAGAGGATCACCGGCTGGGATAGTCCCTTTCCACACGTCTTCGAACCGTTCTATCTACCAGACAAGTGGCGATGCTTCGCTGCTGTCAGGCACGTCTTGAAGTACTGAACTGCCAGGGATATTCTACTTAAACTACTGAACCGTACGACCACGACCACCGATCAGCTGGGATTCTCTCTACTTAAACTACACCGCGCGCCGAACAGCCAACAAAGGATATTCTACTTAACTGCCGAGCGTTCAACAGCTGGGCTTATTCTACTTACGTCGCGAGAACAACAGAGATATTGCATTTACTCCACTTAAGACGCGATAGAATATACCGGAGACCTGTTGCCGTCGTTACACTGTTCTGCCAGCTGTGTACATATCGATTTTTGGCTTTACAAGTAGAATCCATGCCAGTCATAAATTTATATAATAATTGTAATATATTGGGTTGTCCGAGAAGTTTGTCCCAATTTTTGATAGATGGCCTATGATAGAATCTAAATTATCAATTATTAATAACATAAAAAAGAAATGCTCGCGAGAGTTAATTTAATATCAAAATACAGTAGAAATCAATAAAGTTATATTATTTTTCATTATGTTAAATCTTTTCTGAATTCTATATATTATTTCTATCTGACTACATCAGAATGTTTCTACGTTTTAATATCCCTTCAAAACTGTTTGTTCGTTCTAAAAAGATGTAGACTAAGGTCCCTATTTCATTTTCCAAGTGCACTGAGCCAACGAACTGCGAAGCGAAGACGGGTTCGCTCTTGCGGGTAAACGAGACGTGAGATCACGGCGTCTGGACGCGGTCGCATCGGATTCTAGTTTAGGAGTCTCGGTTTCCATAGCGGGAAGGTTGAAAGGAGCCCCGGGTGCAGCTTTTATTGTTCACGTGGCCGACGACTGCGTTCGCACCGTGCGTGTCCCTGACCCAATTCGCCTTGTCCGCTCGCATAAATACTTTCCTGTTGGAGAGGCGCGATTCCCCTTCGTCGAAAGATGATACATACAAATCGCGACCGCCGCCAGCAGCGGCGGTGGCAGCGGCGACGTCGGTGCCAACGCGGTGGTGTTCCGTCGAATCGATATATTCGCAATTAGAACGGACGTGCCTACTGGTTTTTACAGAATATCTGGGTCAAGTCTCTCTTTAGCTGTAAAATCGAGCGTCCGATCGTGCGTGGACCATGCGTGGCAACGTAATATCTTAATCAAGGCTCCTGTGTCTCAAGTGTTGTACCGGTCGTATCCTTGAAGAAGGCGAGACCGGGCTCGTCGATAGAACGCGATTTTACGACCTCAATCGAGGGAGAAGAAAGACCAAGGCTGGGAAAACGAACTTTCCTCAGAAATTAATAATGCATCGGGGATATCAATAAATAAAAATAAAACATGCATTACGTTTCGAGTATTATATTATGTGATTATTGTTATTAATTCAACCTCGATGCATCCTTTGTATGGAAAACAAACATCTTCTTTACTCATTTCTTTTGTCGACGATAATCGCGTTAATTAACGCGCGTAATTTATGCCTAGAATGAATTATGCAATGCGGTTTGGTGACACGTTCACGCGGCCCAAGTCGGAGATACGAGATCAGGAATGAAATCGCAGCGGTTGCAATATTTTGATTAAGTGAACGCGGAGGCGTCTTGAATCGGGGCTAAGCCGATCCCGGACGAAATCGCGGCTCCAAAGAAAATAGCGACCAGCCGAAGGAAGTGTACGGGTTCGCGGCGCGCGCTCGCACCGTATTTTGTAATTTGAAAGGGAAACCACATTCTTTCACTGTGTATTATGATACGTGAAAGTTGGCAACGGTGCACACCGTCGAAGCACACAGGCCTGTGGAAACAGAAAGGGTAGAGAGAGAGAGCGACGACGGGCGGCGAGGGAGAGACGGAGTGAGACAGGTGCGACGTGTCGAAGCAGGAGGGAATGCCGCGGCGTCGAAGACAAGAAGCGAGACCGAGAGATAGCCAGTCGCCACGAAGGCATAGAGACTATATCGAAGGTCGACGAGTTGCCTTTTTATTAGTCGATTTTTGCGGGAATAGAGCAACGCGCGCTAACATATGGTGCCGATCCGCTCGCGTGCGTTGATACCTGACGGATCGCCGATCGCGTTCATCTGGCTGATCCTATGAATCCGCGGGGATATCTCGTCGACCGAAATTGCCCGCGACCGATATGCTCCAGCAAACAGATCGCAATTATGCTTATCAGGATTGCTACTCGTTTACATTGTTACCACCGTTGGGCAACTACCACCTTCGCACGATCTCCTAGATCCTAGAATTGTGCACCATTCGCGGTGATCGCAGCCGGCGATTCACGCGCGACCAGCTCGATTTAATTAATTAATGGATTCGCGGTGCTCGTCGATATTAAAGTCGCGCTCGCTGTTCGTTGCACGAATTTATTATGATTTACGATGCAGCGCTCGGGTCAATATTGTTTAACCCCCACTGGTGTACAGGCTCGACGCCAGTAAAAATTTCCATCACGTTGACACATTTATGACACTTTCAAAAGTTACAGCTGCGTTTTTATCTTATCGATATATATGTATATATATAATAATTATGTTTGCCATGCGAGGCTACGAGGTACAAAACTAATATTTTAAACGAGGACGAACAATTCTTTTCGCGAAACGAATAATTTCCTACGTACGTATTTCGCGTTCAGTATTTTATTTAACCACACCTGGCCATGTGTATTTAGTTTGGACAAATGATTTACATGTTGTGGTTGAAAGGGAAACGGTCTCATATCGCTTCCAGCCAAGCCACATTCGCTGAATATTCACGATACACAAAACGGGATGTAATTTCCAGACGTAAACCCGGGCAAAGTTTATTACTAACATCGAAACGCAATGTGGCGAAGGTGTAGTGGCATTTAACGTGTCTACTTCAACTGACGCGTGCAAAGCCGCGTGTACCGCTTTCGGTGGAGAAGCGCGTACGAGCTGGAGTGCACTTTATTAATATGATAATATATGATAAGCTCGTAAACCTAGGAAAAAATATTTTCCAGTCAAGATCGATGATTAGGTCCTTGAGAATCTCTCTTCTCTGGATGATTAATTGACAGAGAGGAATTGATTGGACATGAAAATTTGAATATCGCCGCGAAATGTCAGGTTTCTTTTCCGCCGCGAGGAAAATTACTCGATCTTCTCTTCATCGATAAGCCATTGATGGACGATATTAATCAACATTTGAACAGGCTTTTTACTGGTTTGCGAACGATACTTTCAAACGAATCCAAGGAGATACGTGTACTTGAAAATGCCAATCACATTCTCTGCAGCAACTGCGCTGTCAAAATTTCGTGGACAAGTACACGAGAAGCAGACAACACGACGAAAAATATCGTTAATTCTCGTTCGTTTATCGCAATTCATTACAAAACAGGCGAATAATGATTCTTTATCGTATGTAAAGATGCGGGTTAATCAAGAATTATGGACTCGCACCCTTTGTCGTCGGTGATAAATTATTTTAACGTCGTTAACAAGTTCGATATCGACGTTCCGATTAAGTGGGCCGAATTTCCTCAAAGCGTTATAATGATCAATTTGAAACACGACGATTAAATTCGATAGGATCATGCTCGGTCAATTAATTTTCTATAATTATCCCGAGCCTCAACCCAAGGAAACGGGCAATTAATTTACTCCGTGGTTATCGATTGATCCTCGGATACATTATACATATACCACAACGTATCACATTTGCAATTATTTCTCGCTCATTAATTTATCGAGTTATACCCGTAATTATACCTTTGATTCATGTTTGTTATAAAAATTGACAAGGTCTTCTATGGAAATCCTTGAGTAAATACTGTGCTCACCAAAAAGCTCTCGTCTTTTCTTCTCCACCCCGCGCCACCCTTATCGAGATACACGTGCCACGCAGCTCCATGATCATCAGCCTCGGCATCTAACAAGATAAAAGACGTTAACCATACGATAACCATAGTTATAAAGTACTAATTATCGATTTCATTACTTTAATCAGATGACGTATCTGAGTGTCGAAGTCCAACGCATCGAATGCGTTGGCCTCGACACGTGTAACATCCCTACAAAGGATCTGACGCTGTGTGCCAACTCATAATATACAAATAATCATGTTTTAATCTCTGTATGCGATACAATTCAAAATGTAGAATATCGTTAATATTTTGATTAATCTTGTTACGGTTATCTCAAATATCAATTTATATTATATTCTCTTGAAAGCGTGGCGTGATTCTTCCAGACGCAGATAAGAAACAATTGTAGATAACCGAAATCTCGCAAAGTGATGCCAGTTTTATATGCAACCAACCTGAATTAGGTTAAACCAGTACGAATTTCATGAAAAATATTTCTCTGGGAAATAAGTTCTTAGACCGAATAACTAAAAAAAGGATTATTGAAGTAGTTACGGTTGGTACTAATACTTGTATACGCGTCCGTTCGCCGTTTATTATGAGTAGTTTCAGTCGACGTACCTGTATCTATGTTTCATACGTGGCTAAAAATTGACAGTCTTGGTGGGTGATAAGCAATACCTGTCGGAAAAGTTAAAGGCCGTGTGGTTTGGATTTTCCGCGTCGCCGGTGGCGCTGTTTCCATTGAAACGACGTCGCTTTCGGGCGATTTCGGGCGACGCGAGTGGGGATAGTTACGCGGCGTTCTCGAGTTGAAGTCGGGTGGGGCGATATCACGCCGGGACGGAGTGCCACGAGATCCTCGCAGTGTCGAATTTCGCCGGTTGTCTCGTACTTTTCATAATTGACGCCGACTTCCCCCATACAGTTGTCGTCAACACTCCTCAGCTACCGTGAACGTTCGCGTGCGCCCGTAACCCCACGTTCAAGTCGTGTCCACGTTTCCCGAGCACGTTTCTCGGCCGTCCGGCCTGATCTTTCCGCCCGTCTGACCACGTGATACGCGAGTTTCGACGTACTTCACGGTTAAATATTTGCACTCAGAGAGTGTCGAGGAATCGTCAACCGCGAATCGTTCGTTCGCGAGTGAATCGATCGATCGTCAACTCGCAAAGCCGCGTATCGATATTCCGCCAACTGACGCAGTAGTATCAGTTTCGAATTCAATCATGGAGGAGGTAAATCGCTACGACGAGGAACGATCACCGAAACCGATGGGAAAGGAGATTCACACGGAGAATCTGACAAAGGACATCTCGACGTTCAGGACGGAGACGAAGAACAAAACCGTCACTCCCGGCCAGGTTCTGCCTCTGATGCAGGTAAGCTTACGTAACTTTACGACGTTGGCCGTTTCTTTGGCTCATACATTTGTAATATCGTTGATTTGATACAACGTGCGAACCTCGCATGCGATTTCATGCGAGTCTGCGCTCATGTGGAGGGTGTCGATGACCCGAGGGAG